CACCATACCTGACAGATGTCTGTCTAACCTGTTCTTAAATATCTCAGAGAGGGAGATTCCACCACCTCCCTTGGCAATTTATTCCAATATTTGACCACCCTGACAGTTAGGAATTTTTTCCTAATGTCCAATCTAAACCTCCCTTGCTGCACTTTAAGCCCATTACTCCTTGTCCTGTCCTCAGAAACCAAGAGGAACAAATTTTCTCCTTCCTCCTTGTGACACCCTTTTAGATATTTGAAAACCACTATCATGTCCCCCCTTAATCTTCGTTTTTCCAAACTAAACAAGCCCAGTTCACGAAGCCTGGCTTCATAGGTCATGTTCTCTAAACCTTTAATCATTCTTGTCGCTCTTCTCTGTACCCTTTCCAATTTCTCCACATCTTTCTTGAAATGTGGCGCCCAGAACTGGACACAGTACTCCAGCTGAGGCCTAACTAGTACAGAGTAGAGCGGCAGAATGACTTCACGAGTTTTGCTTACAACACACCTGTTGATACAACCTAGAATCATATTTGCTTTTTTTGCAGCAGCATCACACTGTTGACTCATATTCAACTTGTGGTCCACTATGACCCCTAGATCCCTTTCCGCCATGCTCCTTCCTAGACAGTCGCTTCCCATCTTGTATGTATGGAACTGATTGTTCCTTCCTAAGTGGAGCACTTTGCATTTCTCTTTATTAAACTTCATCCTGTTTACCTCTGACCATTTCTCTAACTTGCTAAGGTCATTTTGAATTATGTCCCTATTCTCCAAAGAAGTTGCAACCCCACCCAGTTTGGTATCATCTGCAAACTTAATAAGTGTACTCTCTATCCCAATATCTACATCATTGATGAAGATATTGAACAGTACGGGTCCCAAAACAGACCCTTGCAGAACTCCACTTGTTATCCCTTTCCAGCAGGATTTAGCACCGTTAACAACAACTCTCTGACTATAGTTATCCAGCCAATTATGCACCCACCTTATCGTGGCCCTATCTAAGTTATATTTGCCTAGTTTGTCAATAAGAAATTTTAAGTATTATAGGAACTCGTATTAAAAAAGCAAGCGTGTAATGGAGGAATTGTATTTAACTCATCTAAAAGACATGACTAATGTAAGCCTTGAGGACCAGTATGAACTTCCGAGGACACTCTTAAGCAGTGGGCTAAGACAGGAATGAAGTGTTAATCAAGTGGGTTTCCTAGGAAATACCAGGAAATATGCCAAGGCTGTGCTTCCTCTCAGCCCTCCAATCTGTGTACACAATGAAATGACTACCTCCTCTTCATGTTCTATGCAGTTATTTAGCTCTAATATACCCCTAAATAAGGTTTGACATTAGGAAAAACTTCATGCCTGTCAGAGTGGTTAAACACCTGGAATAAATTACTTAGGGAGGTTGTGCAATCTCCATCACTGGAGATATTTAAGAGCAGGTTAGACAGACACCTGTCAGGAATGATCTAGATTAGGGCTACTCAACTTTGGAAGCCCCAGGGCCACAATGATACTCACAGCACGTGCCAAGGGTCGCAACTTAAGTGTGGTTACATATACATTAAAATATGTATGCAAATATATGCAAATAGCTTTTTACACTGATGAGCATTTATACAAAGATTAAACTTTAAGCAACGGCACCGGACCCAAACATGGCCAGTGTGAGCCAGTCAGCGCCTCTCAGGTTCTGCCCACAAAGCTAAACAGCCAGAACTTCCCACAATGCCTCGGTGCTCCTGGCACCTCCTCCCTGGGAGCTAAAAACATTGATACCCTGTACCTTTCAATGGTGAGCACTGAAAGACTCAAGTTGATGGACTGGTCCCATTCAGTAAGGCAATTCCTGTCTTAAATCCCATTGGCTTCAGTGAGAGTTATGCACATGTTGGAATTATTTCCTGATGTCTTTCTGAGCAATATTATGTTAACTAGAAGACCAGCTATAAAAAAGCAAGCTTCTTTTAAGTGCTTGGATCACACTTACTGCATCCCTGCTTTTTCTAATAGGCAGCTTCCAATTTATGGTGTGTGTTTCGTTTTAAAAATTCAAGGTATCTTGAAAGTCAAGCATTCTTCAGCGCCCTAGTTATGTCATTAGGTATGTAATTTCCAGTTAGGGAAAATGAAAGGAAGCATATGCATAAAAAGCAGAAGAATCCAACAGAAAACAATCTGAGCTTTACTGATAGTTTTGCTTTTTCTAATAGGCAGCTTCCAATTTATGGTGTGTGTTTCGTTTTAAAAATTCAAGGTATCTTGAAAGTCAAGCATTCTTCAGCGCCCTAGTTATGTCATTAGGTATGTAATTTCCAGTTAGGGAAAATGAAAGGAAGCATATGCATAAAAAGCAGAAGAATCCAACAGAAAACAATCTGAGCTTTACTGATAGTTT